TCCCGAAGAATTTGTTCGGCCGTTATTTGAATCGGGGCAGGATTTTTATTTTTAATCTGGTATATAGCACATAAATCATTAGGCAAATCGATAGCAAATTAAGTAAAATGGAAGGAAAATATAAGCTAACCTTCGGTGGCCCCCGTTGCTGCTTGTAAAGATTGGGCACTTGCGTGGGATCCATATTGAAAATATTCGAATATTATCCTCTTTGTGGAGATTGTAGTAGTAACAGTAAAGTAATAAAATAGACTATCAGATATACTGAATATTTACCGGTTTACTAAATTGATATTTCCACACGTGATTGATGATCATCATGATAAAAGAAAAAAATTATAAGCTCTAATATAAGCGTACCTAGTTTTTATTAGACAATGGTTTGTAATTTTATTCACTAAAATGAGAAAATTCAGTCGTTAATTTATAATTTTATTATTTTTAGAGTCAACTCTTACAACCGAATCCCATAAAATTTGACAACCAAGTATTTGACTTGGCCTTTCATCCTCAACAAAATATTATTGCTTCTGGTTTGATTACAGGCGAAGTTTTTTGGTAACCAAAATATTCACACGCATAATAAGCTACATAAAATCAATTATTTATTAATTGATTTAATTAGTCACCGGTACTTTTGCGAAAACAACGCTGAAAACATTAATTTGCTATCAATTCGTCCACATAAAAAATCATGCCGTGGACTGGAATTTAGCTATGACGGAACTGGTAATATTTGTTCATATCTACAACATTGGAATTTCTTATCTTAATGTTTTATGTATCATATAGTTATGACCTAATCAACGATCAATCAACTTAACATTAATAATACAATAATATATCTAATTGAATCAAATAATCGATCATTCCTTATTTGCCTACAATAAAATATAAATATAATGTAAGTAATGTAAATATTTCCAAAACATCAAAAAAACTTAATAAGTAAAACAAACCTGTGCGCGCCAAGCATGTGCAATAGCCAACAGTCTGAAATTCGGTTGCTGTGCTTGATCATCAGGGAAAATATAGTCAAAGTATTCTTCCCATACGACCCCTTGTCCATCAGTTTCTTCCAATTTCCGTCGTTTCTTCACCACTTTCGGCATCTTCGCTTCAACGGCAGATAGCATCTCTTCTGTGCCATTATTAGTTTCAAACTCTTTCCACGATTCAAGAAGTAGAACGCGCTACAAAACAAAAATAAACAACGGTTTGAATCTGAGGCGAATATATATTACATC